GCGGGGTAAGCCTAGTACAAAATCCATGTTGACATCGAACCAAGGAGCTTCAGGAACAGGTAAGGGAGTGTACAATCCCGCATTGGTGAGAACTCCCTTAGATCGCTAGCACACATAACAACGGTCCACATAATGGGCTACATCACTAGTCAACTTGGGCCAATAAAAGTCAGAAGAGATAAGGGCCAAGGTCTTATCTCGGCCAAAGTGTCCCTCATTATGGAGTTCACTTATAATTTGCTGCCTCAATGAACAATCTGGAATGCACAACTTTAATCCATGAAATAGATACCCATTATGCAAAACAAAATCATGACGATGACCCTTAGTTACCTTCTGAAATATCATTCCAAAGGAAGGATCAGCTGCATACATATCTGTGAACGTCTCAAAGCCTGCAACTTTAGTACTCATGGTGGTGAGAAGTAAGGTACGACGGATCAGGGCATCTGCGACGCGGTTCAAACTCCCTGCTTGGTGCCTCAGCATAAAAGTGAATTCTTGCAAGTATGCCACCCACTTGGCATGACGTCTACTCAGCTTGTGTTTTCCATTGATGTACTTCAAGGCCTCATGATCGGTAAACAGAATAAACTCCTTCTGTACTAGCTAGTGATGCCAATGCTTCAGGGACTGAACTATGGCATAGAACTCCATATCATAAGTGGAATAATTTTTCTTTGATCCCGATAGTTTTTCACTAAAAAAAGCAACCGGACGACCTGCCTGACTCAGAACACCACCAATGCCAACGCCAGATGCATCACAATTTACCTCGAACACTCTGTCAAAATCTGGAAGTGCCAAAACTGGAGCCTCGGTCATCTTCTTCTTGACCAGTTGAAAACTGGCCTCTGCCTCCTCAGACCACTGGAAATCACGCCCCTTGAGGCACTCTGTGATAGGGGCGATCAGAGTACTGAAATTTCTATTGAATCGACGGTAAAAAGACGCCAAGCCATGGAAACTTCGGATGTCATGTAAGGTCTTTGGTCTGGGCCACTCCAAGACTGCATCTAACTTTGACTGATCTGCATGAACACCATCAGTAGACACAACAAAACCAAGAAAAGTCACAGAAGTAGTGAAGAAAGAACACTTCTTTTGATTGACAAACAAGCACTCCGTTTTCAGTATCTCAAAAATAGCACGGAGGTGATCGAAGTGTGAAGTCCATGTCGGACTATAAACGAGGATATCATCGAAGTAAACTACAACAAATTTCCCCATAAAAGGCCGCAAGACCTGATGCATAAATCTCATGAACGTACTGGGCACATTGGATAGCCCGAAAGGCATGACCATCCACTCATACAACCCTTGTGGCGTTTTAAACACCGTCTTCCACTCATCTCCAGGTCTTATTCTGATTTGGTGGTAACCAATCTTAAGGTCAATTTTTGAGAAGACTTTAGAACCAGATAATTGATCCAACATATCATCTAGACGGGGAATTGGAAACCGGTACTTAACTGTAATTTTGTTGATCGCTCGGCTGTCAACACACATACGCCAAGAACCATCTTTCTTTGGCACTAGCAGAGCAGGGACTGCACATGGGCTCATACTCTCTCGGATATAACCCCTCTCCAACAACTCTTCCACCTGTCACTGCAACTCTTCAGCCTCTTTGGGACTGAGGCGATATGCTGGTCGATTTGGCAAACTTGACCCAGGAACAAGGTCAATTTGATGCTGAATATCCCTCATAGGTGGTAGCCTAGGAGGAAGATCCTCTGGCATCAAGTTAGAGAATTCTGCTAGCAGTCACTGCACTTCTACTGGTAAATCTGCATCCACGTCTACTGCATTGTTCTCGCAAGGTAGTAAGGCATAGACCACGTCGCCATGGTCAATCTCATCTAAAAACCTGGACATAGAAAGCAGAGTAGTATTATGGGTTACTGGGGTAGGAGTGAGTCCTTCCCGCCGGGGTGCCAACACAATCTTTTTTCCCTTGATGCTAAGGGAATATGTATTCTTTCGTCCATCATGAATGACAATGCGATCATACTGCCAGGGTCGACCCAACAATATATGACACGTATCCATAGAAACAACATCACACCAGGCATTATCAAAATATTTTCTACCAATTGAAAAAGACACGAGGCATCGCCTATCAACTGTTACCTCACTGCCTTTATTTAGCCATGACAGCTTGTATGGCTTAGGATGACGGTCCGTCTTCAACTGCAATTTCTGGAAAACCTCCTCGGACACTACATTCTCAACCAATCGTCCCCTGAATCGCCCTTGTCAATGATCATTTTGCAGACTTTATCTGCAACTGTACAGGTCGTGTGAAAAATATTGGTTCTCAACCAATCGTCCCCTGAATCGCCCTTGGGAGTTAGTAGACTCTTGCAAACGACCAGAGTCTCATGACCATCTCCATACAACACATCATCAGTCTCATCATCGTCATACACGGGTTCGCCAATCTCCTCAGTCTCGTCTTCCACGTTTTCCTCAATCAACAAATTTTTGCCCTTTTGACTAGCAGGCTTCCTGCAATCAGTCGCCCTATGCCCTTGTTCACCACAACGAAAACATCTAATAGTAGGGTTAGAATTACCCTGCGGTGGCTGTTGAGCAGGACGGGAATCCTGAGGACGAACTGGTCGACTGTTGTGATCGTTCCTGATCACTAGTCTCCTATTTTGCTGTTTTTCAACAGCAAGTGCACGCTGGTAAGCTTCCGAAACACTCCACAGTGAATGAAGACTGAGGACATCTTGTAAGGGCTGGCGTAAACCCCCCAAATACCGCGCCACCATTTGCTCCTCCGTCTCAGATAAATCGTTCCGGGCGACCAATTGATAAAACTCCTCCGTTTAATCATCAACTGATCGTGTGCCCTGCCTCAACGCATGAAGTCGCTGAAACAAGGTTTGCATGTAGCCGAAGGGAAGGAAGTGACCCTTCATATTCTTCTTCATCTTCTCCCAATCAATGATCTTGGCCTTGCCCTATCTTTCTCGTGAACGTCGCAACTGTTCCCACCACGCAGATGCTCTGCCCTTGAGTTTGATGGCGATCAGTTTCACTTTCACACGATCAGGGACTTCCTTATATTCAAAAATACGCACTACTTCATTAATCCAATCCACGAATCCCTCGGCCTGTAACGTACCAGAAAACTTAAGGAGATCGACTTAAAAATTGAGGTCTCTATGACGCTCTTCCCGACCACGGTGTTCCCAGAATAGAGCACGATTATGATATGGGTTTTCGAAAGCGTAATTGGTATCATGATCAGAGGCCTCACGATCCTCGAAATCCTGCGCCGCCAGGCGCTGGGTTAATTCTGCGACTTGCCTCTGTAAATCCGCAATCATCACATCCTGAACGTTGCGATCACAGCGTTGAGCTTCCTCATTAGGAACCTGCTCACGACGACCACGACCACGACCTCCAGCCATTGAAACTGGTTGAAACTGGTGAAATTTTCCAGGAAGATGTTGAAGCTCTGACACCAACTGACGCCAGACAGAATAGTGATTATCCTGCAAGCGCTCCAACAGATGATTCACAAGAGAAAATTCTCACAAAAAAATCTAGAGAAAAAAAAAGTCTCTAGGGTTTAATAAAATATTATCAAATCAAACAATGCCAAAATCAGTCCACAAGCCGGACTATTATAGCCAAAAATCGTCTTTATTCAAATTTTGCCAAAAATAGAAAAATCCCGAAAATCACTCTAAATTGAAATTCAAAATAAAATAAGCAATCTCCAAAAAATCCGGCCTAAATCAGATTTAAATTGACTTCCTAATTGACAATCGAAATATTACCATAAATAGTAAAAATATCTAATTCTATTGATTCGGAGGGGAAAACGGCAGAATTTGAGGTTGAAAAAAAGGTCACATGGAGTGTAGCTCATGTGGAGAGCGTGCGCGTCGAAAAGAGCTTTCCGAATTGGGGTCTTATGCGCGATTCTGACACCTGTAGCCAAAGTTATGGCCAAAAGACTGAAACATACTCAAAACGACCCCAATGAGGAACATGTCACAATCAATTCCCGCCTTTGCGCTGATCTGCCAATTCATGGTATCTCAGCGCCATCAAGGTGCAATCTGACAGCTCAGCTTCATCTGTCTCGGATCCCCCTGCATCAAAAATTCATTGTCTCGAAGAAGAAAAAAAACAACAAGTTGTTCACTATTTTGAACAAAAAAGAATACCCTTATTCGAAAAAAAGGAAGGAGAAATCGATCGCTTCAATTATCTTTCATCTATTATTTTTTCCTTGTTCACTGTTTCGAACAAAAAAGAATACTCTTTTATTTTTTTCCTTTTATATGCATAGTATTGAACCAGAAAAACATTGAGTTCTCTCAGTCCAACCAGCTAATAAGGTCCATTTTTTCCCTCGTTCCATCATTCTTCTTTTGGTTTACGATCTGTCGCCCTTTCTTTGTTCCCCTCACTTCTCTTTATTATACTTCCCCTTCTTAATACAATAGAATTTCACAGTTCCATGATAAGAACTCGACATTTTATTATCCAGCATGTTATGGTAGATCTTTAAAGAGCAGATTTAAAGTGGGAACCAGATTACAAATATCTCTAACATCTAAAAGACATTATTTTCTGAAAAAATAAAGTACTTTCCACTTTAAAGATATTAAATGTTGAGGAATTTTTGTGTTAAATCTTTTTTTTTTTTTTAATTTTTAGATGCTCGCAAGTTGCAAACAGCTACCATAGATTACAAGATCAGCAACAGAGTTGTAAATCGTATTGCATCCATAGATTACATAAGACACTGGGCAGCAACGTAGTCTGATGCGGTGAATGTTCGAAAAAGTGCCATACTAATGCGAGTATCATATGTCAATTTCGAACCTTTCCTACAGAATTTAGAAGGAAACAAGGTATTGGAGATGGAGAACTACAATATAAGTCCACATTTTAGTTAAGCTAAATATTCTAAAGCAGAGAAGTTTACCAGTCCTCTATATCAGGCTTTAGTGGGCGTAACGATTCAGATCCAACGCATCTCATGTAGTTCTGGTATTACTATCTCTATTGTCTTGAAATATAACATATGTTGTAAAACATGAGTATGTCAAATTATAAGGTTCAAGAAAATGGGAACAAACAGCAAACACCAATGGTGACCAACTTACCTTACATCCATGGCTTTTCGATAGAAGGTTGAGAACATCCTCGAAGACATCAGAGATATCAGTTGAATGAACATCATTAAACCACTGCAAGGGAAAACTGCACACTGAGAAATATTTATTACAAGAAAGAATACTACTTGTACTCAATCTACTTCCAGTTTACCTCTGTATACTTCCCCAGTCGCAATGATCACATGTGACGTTAAAAATAAAAAATCTTAAAAAGCTCACGTGTCTGACTTCTTCTTCTTCTTCTTCTTCCAAACTCAAACATTAATGAGAAGAAAACCGAATACATAGTTACATACACAGAAGAAGAAAACTCGTGATCGAGTTATTCAGCCATGGATGAAGAGTACGATGTGATAGTTCTAGGGACAGACTTCAAGGAATGCATTCTCATTGGCGTTCTCTCCGTTGGACTCAAAGTACATTCCTATCTTCACTTGCTATATTCTGTTTGGTTCGAAAGAAAATATGCAATATGGGTTTTCCTTTTACGATTCAGTTCTTGTTCTTTTTTTGCCAATGACAGGTACGTTGATGCAGGTGTAGCTACCGCTGGCTCAAAAACAGCAAGGTTTACCAACATTTGTCGCCTCAGTTCAGTAAAAATTTGTGTTACCGAGTAAAAGATAAACCGAAAAACCATTAACATGAAGAAAACAAGGACGGAAACATCTCAAGGGAGATGATAAGCCTCTAGAAAAACTGGAATCAAGTAGAGATTATAACGTTGATATGATGCCCAAGGTATGTACGTGACGTACGTACGTACGTATGTATGCATGCATGCATGTATGTATTTATGTATGTATATATGTAATGAAAATGCTTTCATTGATTGGTTTCACAGTTCATGATGGCCGTTGATGTTTAAGCACTGAAATCGCCGTTGATGGGGCTGTTTGAGAAGCGTCGAGTCAGAAAATTCTTCATTTATGTGCAGGACTATAATGAAAATGATCCAAAATCTCATGAAAAAATGATGGGTTTATGGGCGTTTGAAGGCCATTTAAGGTTGCCGGAGAGGGCGAAATATTTTCGAGTTGAAACAAGTGAGGGTTAAGGCATTGAGTCGATAAAAGAATAAATGCTCAACATGAGGAAGTTGAACAAGAAAACGTCAGAGAAAGTGAGTGGAAGAGATAATTCGGTTGATGTTTTCGAAGAAGAAGAAGAAGAAAAGGCACGTGGATGCTCATGATTTTTTTTAAAAAAAAACTTTTAGTTGTCAAGTAATATTTCCGTTAATGGGTTAAAAGACATTAATGGCGGTGGCAGAGGGACTTAAATCGGATAGATAGTTAATGTAAGAGATCAAACGCACTTAATTAAAAAGTCAGTGACTAAAATTGATCAAATCGAAAATAAATGAGACTATCTACATAGTTTAACCTTCTATTTTTTTATTGCGAACAACTACCATATTGGAGAAAATTTGAAAGTTTTGATTTCCATCACCAATCCACTTGAGTCTTGCTCTTTTGCTTATAAAAATCCCTTTCAATTTCCTCTAATTCCATCAACTCAGCTAGCAATACCTTGATGTCACCGTTCTTATTGCACTTATTTAAAGATTTAAACTGAAACTCATTCAACTTAATTCTTTTTTCTTCAGTTTTATTAAAAATGTTACGTAGCTTTGATCATTTAGAATCTTCAGTTCTTTCTTCAATCTCTTCATCTTAATGAACAAATTTGAATATATATATAATATATAATTTTTGAAAACAATTTGAAAAAATATATATAATATATAGCTTTTGAAAATATTTTGAATATATATATAATAAATAGTTTTTGAAAATATATGTAATATATAGTCTTTGAAAACATTTAAAAAAAATATATATTATATAGTTTTTTTAAAAATATATATATTTATATATTATATAGTATAGTATTATATATTATTTATTATATTTTATTCATTTTCTTTTTATTTTATTTTTTTACCTTTTTTGGTCCAAAATTCAAGGTTCAAGTCCAAGTCTAGAAGAGCCCGTAGGATTGACCCAGCAAACCAACCCGAGGACCTAGCAAACTAACCCAGGCAAGAGTCCAGCAAACCGACCCAACCCGAGTCTGCCTGACCCAACAAACTAGGGTTTTCATCTTTTGACATCAGTGCTGCAGCACCAGATCCGTTGGATCTGAACTAATCCAACGGCCTGCATGTGCCAAAGGATAAGGTTTTAGCGCCGCACGTTCAGAGGGAAACATCTATCCACCCGAGGATTCTTGGAGAGTTCTCGTTCTAGTAACAACAACAACACAAATCATTCGGCAAAAAGAAAAAAAAAGCAAATCAATATTTCAGTCAAAATAGAACTCTAAATCAACCCAATAGTGGGTTCTTAAGCCTATAAATGCATGTAAATGTAAAACAAAACAAAACAAAAAAACAAGTAAGATCAAAGCAAGGGAGCACTTGTAACATTCGAAAAAAAAGCATAAATAAACAAGGTAGTTTTTACTCTTCTAGGCTGGTTTACATGTGTTTGTGTTTGGGGTTTATTCTGATTTTATTTCGGATTTGAAAAAAGAAGCCAATGATCGAAAGGGAAAAATTTTTCCGAAAGATCTTTTTCAGATATAGCCTTCCCCGAGGCTCTTTTTCAGATCTAGCCTTCCCCGAGGCTCTTTTGTGAAAACAAATAAGATTTTTGAAAAGATGAGATGATAAGCTTTTGAAAGGTGTAAAAATATTTTGGGTTCACGCCGATGAACGGCGACCGGCGAGGTGGTGGTCGACCAGAAACTGAGTTTAAGGTTGAGTGTTCTTCGTGTCATGAAGAACACGAAGAACAGTTGAGAGAATTTGGGATTTTTGGTTTTGATTCATTTTGAGAGGAGTGAGAAAATGAATTTTTTTTTGTGAATTTGGGATTTTATAGCCGCCCCGAAAATCTGACCGGATCCCCTAAGGATCCGCGTGTTTTCAAGCGGGTAGAGTCAAATTACGGCATTGGTCCCTAAATTGTTTTAAAAGTTAATTTTGTGTTTTAAATTTGATTTTAATTATGGTTTTGCCTTTTAAATTTACCACTTATTTTATTAATTGTTTAATTTGGTCATTCTTTTATTTAATTCATGTTTTCATTTAATTATTTTTTAGGTTATTATATTTTATGAGTTTTTTATCCAACATTCTGTTTATTTCTTTTATTTTTTTTTATTTTTTTAATATTATTTTTTCATTTTACTTTATTTGTTTTAATTTAATTAATTTTCATTTTGTTTGTAATTAATCTTGCAATTGACATTTTATTATTATTGTAATTTAATTAATTTTTTCTTTACCTTCCTCATCATTTTGTGTTTTAATATATACGATCCTTTCTTCTATTTGACTTTAAATTGTTCTATTTAATTTTTTGATATTTCATTCTTTTAATTTTATGTCCATTTATTTTTCAGTATGTAAGTACTTATGTTTATCTTCTCATCTCTTTATTTAAAGTACTAGAATTTAATTTTTGCTAATTATTCCTTTTGAATCACTTTGTATTTTATTTTTATTATTTAACCACTTTATGACCTTCTTTGGGATATTTTAAATCGATTAAAGGTGAGTAATTTGGATCGATTTTTTACTTTTTAATTTAACTTGCAATTTTCTTAATTAAGACAATTGGAAATTAAATTAGTACTGAAAGGGTAGTATAAGGGTGCTAATCCTTCATTGACTGTAACCGACTCCCGAATCCGATATTTTCTGGTAAAGCGCAGATCAGGTAAGATGGCGCCCGATTAACCCAAATATTTTTTTTTAAAATGATCTGTGGCAGCTCTAACCCATTTATTTAATTCGAATGCCAATTCCGGGCCCAACCCGAAAGACGGTTGCGATAGCTTGGCGACTCCATTGGGGACAGGTAAGTGAGTCATGTTAAGGCTAATTTCCAGTTGTTTTCTTAAGTGAAAATTGTAAGTTTAAATTGTAAGTTAATTTTTTCGATCCTTATTACTTACGTTAGATTCTTTTTCAAATAAATAGTTGTATTGACGTTTTAAATGGTTTCAGTTCATTAAACATTTTCATCTCAGGCTCTATACCTGAGCTCCAAACCTTTTCTTAAGTGGAGGTGAAAGCGACGCCTTCGTGTGAATTTATTCTCCGTATAGGCCTAGCAAGTAACCTTCGGGATTCATATACTGTAATACCCCAAATAATAGGTCAGTGATTAATTTAAAAGGGATTAAAAATTTGGAGGACTAAATTGAGTAATTGGTAAAGTATAAGAAATGACTTAAGTAAGACCAATTTGTAAGAGATAGTTTATTGAAAGGGCATTTTGGTCTTTTAGGTGAAATGAATTTAAAACCCATTTAAATTAGGGATTTAAGAAAAAAGAGGAAAGTGAAAAACTTATTTCTCTTATTCTTCTTCCTCTCGTGGGTGAGAGTGTCCCTCCATAGCTTAAGATCGAAATCAAGCTCCGAGTCAAGCAAAACTAAAGACAAAGGCAAAGTACAGGAGTGATCAACTTTACATTTTTGATATAATAGCGAGAAAATCCAGGTGAGTACATTTAGTATGTACGTATATGTTATAGTAGTCATAGATTTATGATCAATTGATATATGTATGGTGATTACATAATGGATCTAAGTGTGCAAAAAGATAAGAAATTCATAATGTGTTTATGAATTTCCGTATGGGCACTTTGTGTGCAAAAATATAAGAAATTTTAATTTGTTTATGAATTTCCGTATGGGCACTATATGTTCATAACTAAGAAATTCATACTAAGTGTATGAAATTCCGTATGGGCACTATGTGTGCAAATTAAGAAATCCATACTAAGTGTATTAATTTCCATATGGGAAATACATTTGAAATTATCAGAAGTTCATAATAAGAAGGTGAATTGATGTATTGGTAATGTGTGAGTAATCCACGTAAATTATAGTAAGATTTTGGGATTATTGCATGGGCACTATAAGAATAAACCATAGAATGTATAATGATTGAAAGAGTTAATTGATATTATGAATAATTATTATAGTAGAAACCGGTCTAAAATAAAAGATTATATGGCCTAACTGTGCATTTGACAAAAAGGTGTCAATTATGCCAATTAGATGAAAGGCTAAGTGCCTTTGAGGCCTAATTGTGCATTTGATAGAAAAGTGTCAATTATGCCAGTTAGATGAAAGGCTAAGTGCCTTTGAGGCCTAACTGTGCATTTGGCAGAAAGGTGTTAAT